CCGAAGCGCCACACAGCCGTCCGGCAGCTCAGAGCGAGCGGGTCGCCACCCGGGGCTCTGGCCAGCGGTGCTCTCTCGTCGTAGTCGCAGTATTTCCTGTTTGGATTCTAGTTTGCTTCGCCCCAGCTGCCTCCTAGCCTCACTCTCGCAGCCGCCTTCGTTTCCTCGGCGGACGCTGCCGCCCCACTCTGGGTGCGGGGGAACCCCGCCGAGATCATGAGGAAATTCAACATCAGGAAGGTGCTGGACGGCCTGACCGCCGGCTCATCCTCGGCCTCGCAGCAGCAACAGCAACAACAGCCGCACCCGGCCGGGAGCCGGGAGCCGGAGATTCAGGAAACGCTCCAGTCTGAGCACTTCCAGCTCTGCAAGGTGATCAGAGCGCGCCGCCAGGGCCCCCGCCCCGGAAAATATGGGGTGGTTGTAGGGGGCACCTCGGGCTGTCACAGGAGGGTGTGAGCCAGTCTGGAGAGCGCCGGGAATGGCCCAAAAGGGCGCACTCCTCTTCCAGAAAAAAGCTGCCTTCATGGGGTATTTTGGAAATTGACATCATTTTACTCCTTCTCCTTGATTTTTGCCCCCTCTCTCCTTTTCACAGGCAGCAATTAATTCAAGGGTGTTGCAAACGTATTATCCTGACCTTTAATCGGTATTCTGACACCGCTAGCAATCATTTCCAAGCTTTGCGATACGAGCGTTTTAATATCGTTCACCAACTTTGAACTTTCCTTTTGGAAACAGTGCCTGACGAATATTGTTTATCCGAATGCCAAACCTGTTCCACTGGATGGGTTATCATGGCTTTCCTTTGAAAATGGGGAATGAGTGATTGAAACGATGAAATCCCAGAGTTCTTTTTATCATTGTGTTTGGTGAAAAAGTTAGTACTGTGATTTTTGCTTGTTAATGGCGCGGTAATTGTCAGAGGCTTCTGTAAGAATGATGCAGCGAATTAATTCCCCAGCTGCTCAGTGAGAAATACAAACTAGTCTTAGTGTTAATACCCGCGTTCCTCATAAATATCCAGGCCTTCATATCGCTAGTTTCTTGAAAAGTGTGTACCTACACTTTTCCCCGTAATAGCCTGTAATTTTTTGGATGTAATAAATAAAAGGCAGAAAATAAAAATCAACCCAAACAATATATTTATTAACTTATATATATTGTTTTTTTTTTTTGCATTTTATTATTACACCCCAAAAAATCAGGGAAATATCTATAAATATATGTGTGTATATACATATATTTGTTGTGCCTGTTTGCAGTTGTGTTACAATTGCAAAATGTTGAAAATAGAGTCTTGATGATCGTTTTCTCAAAACTCTTAACCTGTCATCGTATGACAGCTTTTCCTTAGAAGTGCTTATGTTTGGCATCTTAATAAAGTCATGAGGAAGTGATCACATTTGAAATAAAGCATGGATCCCATTTTTAAATCAACTTAAAGAATTTGATCCCTGTTGTAAACTTTCATAATTAATTTCTCTTCTAGAGAATCCAAGTATTTTGGAAAAGCAGAAAGTAAAAGTGTAGTACCAGGATAGATACTTGAGTTTCAGGTACCTTGTGAATAACTTTGTTTTGTTAGCATTGTAGATTTCACAGGCTTGTTTTTTAAGTGCATATAGCTGTGTTTTGCTTGTTGTTAAATTCTGATGCCTTTATTGACTTTTCTGTTTTTTAATTTTGCTTGCTGCCTTGGCTGATGTGATGTCACTTGCCCATCCCTAGACTGTTCGCCATGGATTTCCCTATCAACCCTCAGCCTTGGCCTTTGATCCTGTGCAGAAGATCTTGGCAGTGGGAACGCAGACTGGTGCTTTAAGGCTGTATCCTTTCATTTTATTTATTTACTTATTTTTTAACTTTCATTCTCCTCAATCCTTCTATATTACTGATTTTCCTGTTTAATTCCAAAGAAATGGTGCGAACAGGTATACACTTAATTATGTGAAATTGTGTGAGGTTGGCTTTCCCCTTGATTTTACTTAGTTCAGGTTCTGTGTTTCTGTTTCTCAGCTCCCAATTAAACTTCTGTCAGAAGAACATGTTTACAATTTTGCTTCAGTAACTACTTTCTTTGCAAGCAGCTGAAAGTTTCTAAGGGGAAATTTATCTGCTTATATTAGTGGTGTATGGATTGGAATATGTTAAGGATGAAATTTAAAGACATCAGCAGAATGCACACGTTCACACTTTAATTGCGTTTCGAAATATTGTTGGAGGTATGTGTTGAACGTATAACCTATTAAATATTCTGATGCATTAGTGTTTGAGTGTGAATTTAAATTTGCTTGTTTATGTCTTGTCAATCTAGAAAAATCATTAGTAGTAGAGAAATGTACCAAATTAACTTTATCTAAATATTTATGACAGGCTGACATTTCCAGAAGTTCTAGAGCATTGCATTTTAAAATATATATGGATAAATAGACTTTTCCTGGTAATATTTTTCTTTTAATAGTCTATTGTTTATTATTTATATGTAAAAACTAATTAGGTTAGCTGTACCCTAAATTCATGGAGTCCTGGTATGGTGCTGTAGGTTAATGCATTGGACTGCATAGTTGGTTTGAACTGCAAGGTTGGCAGTTCAAGCTCACTAGCTGCTCCTAGGAAAGCCTATACAGGGTCACTATGGTTTGGAACCAACTCAGCAACACTTAGCAACAAGTTTAAAGTGTCAGTATAGAGAGAATTATTTTTCCTGGTTATCTGTGAACTGTAGTAGTTTTATCATAAACTTTTTCAAATACCTTCTTTTCAAGGGTCCTGGTATAGGGCTGTGGGATAAAACGCTGGACCCCAAAGTTGATTTGAACCACAAGGTGGGTGGTTCCAACGCACCAGCCATTCCTTGATAACACCCTATACAGGGTCACTATGAGTTGGTACTGACTTGACGGCACTTAACAACTCTTCAAGATTAGTTTTTAGTCTGAACAATGGAGAATATTTCTTGCTTCCTCTTTTACACTTATCTTGAAATAAATTTTTTTAAAAATCACTAGATAATTTTAGTAGATATTTCTGTTTTTAGAAATGGAAAGGAAAAAGGAACTTTACCTGTTTACATTTTAGATTTACTTGGCTCCTGAGAAGGGCAAAAGGACCCAGCATTTGAATTAGCTATGTTTTGCTAAACAGTCTTTTAACAGCATCCCTTTAAACAAGTACTACATGATAACAAGATAGGCTACACTTTTATTTAGGGTTTAGTATGTAGCCTTCCAAAAACTTCATAAAATTTTTCACCTGAGCCACTGAACCGTATTACTAAGTCAAGTCTGCCACTCATAGTAAACGTTAGTAGTTTGGCTCCATATGGTAAGCACTGGACTGCAAACCACATGGTTCATGGTTCGAGCTCAGCAGCCACTCCATGGAAGAAAGATGAGGCTTGCCACTCTCCTGAAGTTGAAAAGCCTCAGAAACCATATACAGGATTGCTATGAATCAGAACTGACTTGACGGCTCTTAGCAACAACACCAATACCAATAACTAGTAGTGTAGGCATACCTATTGAAGTCATACAATCTGACCATGCTGGAACTGAATCTGAGTTTTTGAGACAGTATCTAGATAGTTGGTGCTGGTGGGTTAATGTGCTAGACTGCAAGTTCAGTTTGAACCTCAAGGTTGGTGGTTCAAGCTCACCAGCCACTCCTTGGAAACCCTATACAGGGTCGCTATGGGTCATAAGTGACTCGATGGCACTTACAACAGCAACAGCAAACCTAGGTAGTTGAGAGTATATAGGCAACTTTATTGCTGAACCCAAGTGGTCAAGACATTCCTATTTTAGTCTTGTGAACATGGAAATAAAGTTAATTTTGCTGGTGTGACTAGTAAGTGTTGTGCAGAAGGTTGTGTGGTGACAAAACTAGTACATTGTTGAACCTAGATCTTGTTATTAAATGCTCTTGAGTTCATGGAAGAGAGATGTAGGATTTCCGAGGAATAGCTTGGTGGGTTTGCAGTGTGCTGATCCTACAGCACCATACCAGGACTCCTAAAGTCAGATAGACCTTTGGAAATTAAAGCAGATTTTTAAAATTTTCCAACAGAATTTCATCAATGAACTTGAAGAATTAGTTGAATTAGATAGTTTGTTTTTATATTACTTTCTTTTTCTTTTAAGTGAATTTAATTTTTAACTTTTTCTGAGTATGGTCTCAATTTCATGGTACATAATTATATTTATTTATTTTAAAACAGCCAATCTGGCCATTTGTAGTTTAATAAGTTAGTGCCATCAGCAAGCCTGATTTTATAAAGCCAACTTTTAAATTGCTTTTCTTGCACAACACTTTTAGCCCTAATGCATTGAGTAATGAGCACGTTCAGACAAAGGATGGAGGCAAAACATTAGGTGTAATGTCAATTGCCAATTAAAAACAAGGGTCAAGTGTCCAAAATGACCGCTTGTATGTGATTTCTGTTACACTTATTTTTTTGTAGTTAAATACTATGTGACTGAAAATGAACCTCTAATTCTGGTTTGCAGTTACACTTTTGATGTTTTGTTTTCTTTACAAAGAAACTCTTTTTCTATATTAAAATGAAGTTAGGAACCTATTTACCAAATGTATTTCTACTTTCCATTCCTATGAGATTTCTATGAACAAGCCAGATTAATATATTGGTAACTCCTATTCATCCCTTCTGATAGGTTGAAGTCACAGATGAGCTTATGAGCTTTATTCTGACTTTAATTTATACATAGGAAATGACAAAGACCTTTCAGTTTTTATCTGATTTTCCACATATGTGATTTAAGATACATGTTGCATTCTCTGTTATTTTCTATGGCAGACACTTTAATGTCTAAGCGCCATTGTCAAAGCTCCGTATTGGTTTAACTACAGACTTATTACAAGACTATGCTATTAACATGGATTTTTCATATTGTTGATGATCTCTTTTCATCTTTTTGTTATTCTCTTTCCTTATTGTACTCTTGTAACCTGTAGTACATTTGCCTTAGAAAAGGTCTTTCCCTTTCTAGACTTTCTAGATAAAGTCTTTTTTTTTTTCATGTAACTACAGAGCAGGAAGTAAGAGGTAGACTTACAGAAGTAGGATTGGGCTAGTAGGATTCCAAATGCATACCTAACATGGATGTCTTGCTGAACGTTGGATGTCTTACTAAATGTTGGAAGACTAAATACTAAGGTGATCTATATCCTTGGAGTTTAAAAAAAAAATCTAGATGAGAAAGTTATAGGCAAGAATTAGTCCAAATCTAAGATGCCTGGAATCTGATAATGAGGCAAAGTCTATTTTGTGCATTTTTTGTATTAATGTATAAAACATGGCTGATGATGTCATAAATATGCCACATGCTCAACCTTAGATTCTGGAAACAATTTGAAGTTGGAATAGACTACTGAGAGAAAGCAAGAAAGCCTAATTTTATGGACCAGGCTACCTGTACTCTTTAAGCTATGTAGAAATTGACGTTCCATTATTCTTATGAGTAATATATAAATAAGGTCAGAACTGTTGAGATAAAGTAATAATCTATTCTCAGATGCATAAGTAAAAGGGAAAAACAATTCTAACTGAACAGTGATAGCATTTCTAACAACATAGCTATGTCTTGATCTAGACTCTTAGGTCACTAGTATGTATAATCTTAATCTGCTTCCATTTTTAAGGGGAAATCTTGTGTCAAAACAATGAGGTCATTTTATGTGTGAGTATTTCAGAGACTAAGCAGAAAGTGCAGTTTTAAATGATTGAATTTGCGTACAAATTGATGAAGCTGTTTTATAATTTAGATCTATACATACCTCTAAGAAACTCATTTGTCTTCCTGACTTGTGGAAACTACAGTCTAAAAGGGAAGCTCTACTTGAAGCATGGACTGCTTTCTAAATTGCATTATAATGTCACTGAATTCAGGCTTACAAAATGCAGGCTTACAAAATGATTTTTTTTTTTTTAAATCTTAGAGTTCATTTAACAAGCACTTATTAAGTATCAAACAACATTAGATTATAAATTGTGGCTTGAATTCTGGTTCTTATTTTGCCAACAAACATCTTTCCACTAAGGAATTATATGTCCTTGTATAAATGAATTTTTAATGTCTGTTTTCTTACTTTAAAAATGAAGATGTTATATTAGATGATTTATTCTACAGAAACACTTTTGTGATTCTAAATATATATTGTTCTAGGGGAGTAATGCAAAAGAAATAAAATGAAAATGTGATCTTTGCCTTCAAAAAGATTCCAGTCCTAACCACAGGACTGGAACAAGATAAACATAATTGAAATTAGGGAATACTGAGGAGTCTAATGATGCTACAAGCTCTGGTAGTGTAGTGGTTACTGATTGGGCTGTGAACCATAAGGTCAGCAGTTTGAAACTACCAGCTGTTCCACGGGAGAAAGATGAGGCTTTCTGCTCCCGTAAAGATATACAGCCTCGGAAACCCTGTACAGGGTCGCTGAGTCGGAATCGACTCCACGACACGTAACAACACCACCAACAACAACAACTGATGTTACATGGAAGTCAGATTTCAGGTTATATTTTAATGAGAGTTTTTACACATTGGTAGATACGGATTCTGAATGGCAGGAAGGAAAGCATAAGGAAATTATTCTAGTCGGCATAGTAAATAGCATGGACAAAAGTATGGAAAAGAGAATTATCCTGGTAGTTTTGAAAAATACTAGAATCTGTCTGGTCCTATTTGGCTTGGAGAGAGTAATAAGAGCCAGCAGTGGGCGGAGGGCCTTGAATGTTAGTCTGAGGTCTCTGGGCATTACCCAGGTAAGAATCATTACCATTATATAAGGAAATGATAGCAGTAAT